ATCTATCTATCTATCTATCTATCTATCTATCTATCTATCTATCTATCTATCTATCTGATGTTCTACACTTATTTTGCTACTGCGAACTGTGGCTGATTATGCTGAACGTATAAACATCAGAGTAATCACTGGATGGGCTTTGTTTGTTTATGGGAGCACTGGCAGATGGCAGGACAGATGTCATGGCAGTATAATTTGGCTTTCCTCTTTATATTTTATTGGGGCTTGCAGTACATGATTACCTTTTGGCAGCCGCTTTCACAGGTGTTCATTTTCAACAGGGTAAGAACAGCAGTAAAAAAGGGCAATATGCACATTGACATTTATCAGTGAAAATTATAACGGGGTAGCAGAGGTGCTAAGATGCAGGATTTTTCAGTTTGGCCTACATTTTTTTATTGTTTGCATTAGATGCAAAAGAGATAGAAGGGGAAAAAAGCCAAACAGCTTGCATGTCTTATACACTAAATAAAACAAGTCTTCCATAAATATTCGATGTGATTGTGTGATCACTGTAATTTTTAAGATACTAATCAATCTATTAACGCTAGGCGAAAATGGAGAATCAAGCATGTAAACTGGGATGCACAGTCCAAATATCTAAACAGGCCCTTCGAATTGGGCTTCTGGTGACAGAACACTTGAGCAGACCATTGTGCATACTAAAGGGGTATCCTTCCAGCCTTGTAGTATTTATTGTGTATTTATTTAGCAAAAAAAAAAAAAAAGCACACAGCATTTGTTTCTGATGTCTTCTGCTAGATTTCAAATAAAATAAAATTCAAAACAGCATAAGTATTTAACAAAAAATTATGCATCTTTCGGAACAGAATTAATATGTGAAAGAATTTCTTTCCAAAAAGAAATCATTATAACATGGTACCACATCGTGCAAACCAACGAGCGGGCCAACTCTGACAACCCACCATTTTTATCTAAACATACACACATACATATATACAGAGAGACAGACAGACAGACACACACACACACACATATTCATTCACTCACTCACTCATTCATTCATTCATTCAGAATTAAACTGTAAAACCTCAGATACTGGCATCCAGATTTTTTCAACCCAGAACTGTCGGACATAATAATTCCAAGGTTGGATAAGTTTCATGGACAAGATGTATGTACCAGTCATGAAACTGTTCCTCAGTCAACTTTGCATAATTATTGTTGACCTGAGCTGAATGTAATCAGGAAAGGGTCTGTAATTATTAAGAAAGGGCAAATAAAAATTACCTAGTATTGTAGAAAAGACAAATTCTAAATAGATATACATTGAGAAAGAAATTGAAAATAAAACTGCCAATAATAGATTGCCCATATGTAAATGTATGTTGGCAGCTACTTAAACTACTATTTCAGTTCTGGCCATGGCATCTTGAACTGAGTATTATACAGCTGGAAAATATGGAGCAAAGGGCAAAAGGAATCAAAAGGCTGTAGCAACAGTCCTGAAAGAAGAGTTTACATTTTTAATATAATCTTTAATATAGAAAAAAGTGAGTAAAGAGAACATGTTGATTTGTTTCAAAAAGTGCATAGTATAGAAGTAATGAGGAGGAAGGCATTTTTCTCTTTCTCACATAATCCTAGAATCCAGTGCCATCCAGTGACGCTGAATGAACAGAGATTCTGGGCAAATATAAAGATTTGCTTTTCTAGAATTTTCTACTAAAAGACACTGTAATAGCCATCAGGTTGAACTCCTTTAAAAAGGAATGTAAGAAATCCATAGAAGTTAAGATCATCCAGCTACTGGTCATTATGGTTGTATATTCTCTGCGATACCTAAGAAAGAATTGTTATGGGACTTATGAGACCATCACACAGGCCTGACTGGCTATTGCTGGAGCAGACTGCAAACCAGAGAGCTTCTTGCTCTGGTCCAGAACACCTCTTATTACCACCTAATGCTATTAATGTGGGTTTGCACAACCTGTGGAGCTTATCAGATATATTCCAACATATTTGATGGACCATCTTAGATGGCTAGTCAGTGACAGGTCACTGCAGCTGTGTGCAACATGAAGCATACAGATATGAATACTGGGTGAAAAGACTTCTGTGCATTACTAAATCCATTTCTCCATTTTACATAATCCCCAAAATTACAATTATTTACTTCCAGGAGTAAACTTCTGAAAACTTATTGTTATAATTCCTTCTGCCTCTCCTACCCCAGCCCTCAGGGGACAATTGCTCTCTTGTGTTCTTTAATAAAGCCATTTCCTCCCTTTACACTGTTTCATTTCTAATGCAGAAATGATGGTAAAAACTTATTCCCTGCCCTACAGGCTGCAAGCTGCCTAATGAGCAAGACATTATTAAACATTTTTTCCTGTTGTTTGGAGCATAACTTTCTGCTCCACTGTTGTTTGGCTTTCCAGTCTCTTTGGAATTGAGAATAAGAGTGGGAATAAACCTGTACTATAGATCACCTGATATGAATGAAGTATAAATCCTGATCCACCTACATTGTTCAGGAGTGGCGACCAAAACACCAAAGGGGATGGAGGTGTTTCAAAATCCATAACCACTCCAGGACATTATTATCAACCACAATATTATTGCTGAGGCAGTGGGACAGTAAGAGGAAAGTGTCTAAAACATGTGGCTGAGCATAAACTGATGTCTAGGCCAAAGGGGATGAAAACACAAAGCAAAACAAGAAGAAGCAAATATGCACACCACCATTTAATTTACCATTGTGCATAGCTGTTTAACAAAAATCTTAAGCTTACCATACTGACCAGACATGAAAGACTCTTGCAGATTTACAATCTGGTTTCCATAAACCCCATGTCAGCTTTCAACAGCACTATAGGCCAAGGATGGGCAATCTACAAGCAGTCCCAATCCCCAATCTATTGTACCAGAGTGCTCTGAGATTATGTAGCTGAAATTCAGCAGCAACATGGCCTATTATTGGCAGCATTTTCTTAACATATTTCCCCTATATTCATGGTTACAATGGAGATGACCAACACATCCTTTTTGACCAGAATCTCAACACTGCCTCCAAAATGCATGAAAATAGAAGAGAATATGTGTAGCTCAGAGTTGAACTGTGGCGTCCTTGGGGTTCTCTGAGCTGGGTGGTTTTCTTGTAAATGTTTCATTACCCAGCTAGGTAACATCTTCAGTGCTAGAATGGAGTGGGGTTTGCTCTCTGTTTATATACAGTGGCATGCCCTGCCAGTGTTGGTAGACCCCCACCCCCACCACATGCATGAAAATATTTGGCCAGGCCCACCCAGTGATGTCCCATATCATGGAGATACCCTGTAGTCATTAGTGGCCAGTATTAGTATTTTTAAAAAGAAAGAGAAGAAAAGGTGTTGTTGTTCATAATAATAATTTTTTAAAAAGCCTGTTCCTGTAATAAACCTAAGACTGATTGAAGTCTGCTCTCATTATATACGTGGTGGTGGTGGTATGTAAAATGATGGTACATATCCTTGTTAACCAGGCTTTGGGGCTTAGTAAGTCAAGTGGTGTCTTTTTTTTTTTTAATGTATGCTTTTGGGGGGCCAATAGATAAATAGAGAATGAGATGGAATAGCCAAGGCCATCTTATACATGTGTGCAGGCCTGGATTCCTCTCCTCTCCTCTCCTCTCCTCTCCTCATTTTTCATTGTGTTGGGATGTGCTTTCGTGTGCTTTTCACTTCCATGCATTAAGAAGTTGTACTCTGGACTTTTGTCAACTGTATCACCAAAATAGGTTAGTTCAATAAGCAGGGACTCTGGTGCCTCAAAAAAAGATTTCTGTAGCTACCTGTGATTTTGCCCATCTTTGCTTTAACTAAAAGAATAAATCATCTTGTGATGTTTATATTATATTAGTAGATGGTAAGTAATAGAGGAATAGATGAATGCAGCATTTAAAAGCGATAGAATACCCAACAATCTATCCTTAGGTGATAAAATAAATTTTGTTTATAAATGTATGAATTGCTGTGGAATCGTATATGAACAACAGTACTGAATATTGCTAAGCATGCACTGGAAAGGAAAACTTAAACATGTATTTCATATGATAATTGTTCTGTTACTGCTGTTGTTATTTTCTGTGAAGTTATGGGTGTTACCAATTCTTCTTTAGATTCTGGGCAGAGTTTAATAAAGCCTGCAGAAATGGCAATCCATCAGGTTAATCAGGGCCTGCCATTTTTATAATGCAGACTGCATGGTTCTTGTCATGTCTCCTATTTACAGAGTCCAGGAATGCACTTGGAAACAGAGATTTATTATGCCATTTGTATTCCACTCTCTACAGCTTGTAGGATATGTTCACCTTGGTGCATCACAAGTTTTGTAAACCTGGCTTAATATATTGTGATGCAGCTCTTGGCATTTTCTGCATGCTTTTCACTCTGCAGAAATCCAGGATTGTAAGTTTCTTATCATTGTTCTGCTTGTACATTTTTAGAGGCAACTGTTCTAAGCTATGATGGAAGCATGTTTATGAAAATACAACTCCCTGTGGTGATGCACACAGAGGCAGAAGATGTGTCCTTACGATTCAGGTCTCAGAGAGCATATGGCATTCTGATGGCCACGACTTCAAGAGAATCTGCTGATACATTGCGTTTAGAGCTGGATGCAGGACGAGTTAAGCTAACAGTCAACCTAGGTAACATTCTTCCCCCACTCCCATCCTAAAATTCACATTTCAAACATCCTTTTTTGTCTTTGCCTGCTAGCATCAATTCAACAGCCTGTTTGACACTGAAAATAACCTGTCTGTTTTATATGCAATTTGTGTGCATATATAT